TCTTGTATTGGTATCCATCATCACCAAGAACAGCGGTATCCTGGGCGGGTTCCTCGACTGCGATTTCAGTAACTGCCTCTTCAGATGGAGGGAGATACTCATTGGCAATTTCGGAAACATCACGGCGTTGACGGTATTTAAGGCGACGAACTGTTTTGTAACGGTATCCATCCTCTCCAACAGCGGTGGGGTCTTGGGCGACATCCTCGACGGGAACATCGGCCGCAACTTCCCCAAGTGGTGGAATATATTCATTCACGATCTCAGAGACATCGCGACGGTGCCTGACTTGTTCGACAGGAATCACTGCAGCCGTCGCTGCGGCAATAAACATGCACGCAATGAAGAGTTTCTGCAATGATGTTGAACATTTGGGCAGTTCGAGAAGAATAACGTTTAATAATCCTTGTGATATCCTCAGCTACCTACCATTTTAGTATAGATTTCCAAAGCTAATTGTGTTATCGATGGAATCTATGGGTCGAATGATTAATAGTCGCAATTTGTCGGCATATTTATACGCTCTAATGTTTGCCAAGCGCCGACATAAACACACAAAAACCAAACAATGACCAACACTTTGTTTGCTCCGTCTCTCCAAATAGCAACAAAGCACCCGGCAACAGTTAAGGCCCGAGTTTTGGTCATTAAGACAAGTCACAGCATTTGCAAGCCAAATGCCCGCACATGCTCCCACTTACGGTCTCAAGTGCCCCATTCCCTACCTCTGCTTCCGCTCTGGCCCACGCTTCAACTTTGACTAGAGCCAAGCAGTTCATCATTTCACAGATGTTGCTGCTATTGGACCGAAAGCCGGTTCGCATCTAGACAGAGCGGAACTAAATACATTGTTTCACTTTCGTCAGCGCGTTTGAATGTTTCACGGTCAAGAGCTACCAAAACATAATAAGATTTAATGCAAAAAAAATAATGAAAAAAAAAAAAAAACAAAATATTTTATATATATTAATGACAATCAAGTCTCTATGCCGTCATAAGAGTTTCTTATTTTAAACTTTGCCACTTACGTTTTATCGTATCGGTAATTTGCGTATTACTATATACATATATATTTATAATTATATATATATTTATATACATGTAAGTTCAACGAACCAAGCCAAAGTTGTTTAGAAAGGTCGCTTGTGAATGGTTTTGAACTGAAGTCTTTGCTCGTGTTTGATTCTGTTTGTGCTTTATGATATCATGACGTACTGCGTAAATGCGTACATTATCAGCTAATTGAGCGAGCCGGGACTTGTTTATGGCTAGAGCAAGTTGGTAATGGCTTCGCTTGTAAATCCAGTTACTGCTATAAGGATATCAAAAAGATTCCGCCAGAAATGTAGTCAAGGAACAAAAACAGCTTACAAATTGTGCGCATGTTTTATGCGTTGGCGAAAACTTTGGCTATGAAATTCATAAACTTGGCCAAAGCAAGCAGCCAGGAAAAGAGACAGCAGCGGCAGCAATGGCAGCACCAGCAGCAGCCTGTGCCAACGTCCTCCATCAACCAGCATGTGGGACAGTTAAAAGTTTTTCACAAATCATGCATATGATGTTGGGGCACTTTTTGCCGTGGCACACAGCTGCTAAAGCCGGCCCAAAAGGCAACTAATTAAAGGAGCCAAAGACACTGCAGACGAACTGGAGTTTCGGCCCACCGAAAAAGTTTGCCTCTCTTCAAAGCTCGCCGGGATATGTGTGTCAAGTGCCAGCCAGCCAGCCAGCCAGGCAGCTAGCTCAGAATGTGGTAAACAAAACAAATGGAGTGTGCAATCTGTCGTAAACACTCATAAATTTCCACTATTGTCCCAACTCAAGCGGCCAACTATCGCTAACATCTGCAGCTAAGCTTAGCCGAAAAATCCCGAGCTGCCTTATCAACAGTGCTGCCAAGATTGGTGGAGAAAAAGTAGCCTTAAGCGGGAAATAATATCATACAACACACATGATTTGGAAAAAAAGGAAATATTGTTTATTGGTATATAAATTTATATTTGTTATGAAATCGGATATATTATATACTAAATATATTCAACTAAACTCAATCTGAAATTAGAATAGTTACAGAGTTATCGAAGGAGAGGGTATCCTTTATATGGAGTCTGCTTTACATTAATTGTATTGTGTAAGAGTAGTGATAGTCTCTTCCGGTATTTGGATTCGACGATATATAGAGGACCGAAACCGTAAGGTTAATTGATTCTGCATCTGAAATATACCTTTTCCATTTTTGAGCTACTCTAATTTCAAAGACAAATATAAAACGAGCTTGATCATTGTCTATAAAGTTTAAAAGTTTGCTAAAAACACATTGCAAATTCATTATCATGTAAATTCATCATCAAGCTAAACTTAGCATATTTATTGCTAATGACGTCACAAGCGTCAAATTAAACTAGCTAAGTGGGCACCACTGGCTGCCAACGTTTATCGCCATCATTCAAAACGCCACTTGCGAAATCTTGTGCAGCAGCTGAAGAGTTTTCGTCGGCGGTTAGCCGTTGTTGGCTGAACTGAAGCATGAACATCCAATGACACATTCTAATATAATATAAACGATGTTTTATGACAATCAATTTGTTACAATTCAATAGACACACAACAACCAGCAATGTGTGTGTGTGTGTGTTCGTGTGTGTGTGTTCTCATTTATGTGATTATTTGATTTGTGTGTTTGACGTTAACATTCATACGGAACTCGATGTCGATGCTGCTGCCGATGCGGATGCCGTTGTCGACGTCGTGGGTCCCCCCGCACTCCGTAACCAAATCTCTGGTCACATAACGAATTTTATGAGCTAGAAAGTATCATTAATTTAATACGCATACGCGTACACAGAGTCAAGGATACGCCGGCAGGGCGAACGTTAGTTATGGCTATTGTAATGTAAATACGCGACATGCAATCATAAATAAACATTCGACACAAACACAATAAATGTCAGAAACTTTTGCCCATTATCCATTCGGCAGTTAATGCCAACTCCTTTCGTGCTCCCCATACAGCGCTTTATTATTTTAATGATTTTCCAGCGCCGCTCTGTCCAGAGAGCTGCTCCTTCGTCTCTCTCTGTCGCTGTCCCGATGCTGCGATCTTTTCAGTCGCTGTTCCATTGTGCTCACATTTATAATTCAATTCGCTAGCAGCTCGACAGCCGCAGCCGCAGCCGTCGCTCCAGTTCCAGTTCCAGTTCCTCTTTCAGTTGCAGTCGACTTACTCTTTGCTCTTGGGTATTGTCATTTTGACAGAAAATGTGCAGGGCATTTTTAGGTAATTATCTATTCAATTTTATAGTTAATCAGTTCCTTATTATTATTTTTTTGTCACTTTCCATAGTCTATGTTATATATCATAATAGTAGCTCTGGCAATTCCACGAACTTCACCCAAATATATGCGCAAGGGTATATAGATTTCGACTCTTCTAGGATAATGGTGTTTTCTTATTCCTTTTCACTCGCTCAGTTATTATTTTACATGTCGTTCGTTGGCTCACTATAATTTATTAGCAATTTGCATAATTTTCTTTTATTAAGCAGTTGCCGTTGGTTTCATTGTGCCAACTTTTTGATTTAAATGCTGCTGCTGCTACTCCCTCTGTCATCGTCATCCTTGTCGTCGTCGACGTCGTCGTCGTCCTCGTCATCAACTCTTTTCTGGGCAATGTTATGCAAATGTGGCTCGTAATACCCATAAGGTCTGGTAGTTTATGGCAACGCAGCCCTTGTATTATTATTGTCGACTGTCAGAATCATGAATACATTTTTGGCTCTGACTACAATCTGCCCGGCGGGTTTCTGGAGTCAAGGTCAAATACACTTCATATTTTGGCCATATTTAAAGGGGCATTCATTGAAATGCAATTATGCTCCACAAGGAACCAATATTTTAATACACTCACACAAATGTTTAACTTTCAATTAAAATTTAGTTTAAGAACTTTCGACTTCAAATAGAAAAGAAGTAAAACAAATGCAGAAGGCAGCTAACAGATAGCTCATTAAGAGACCATATGCTTGAGGGGGAATATTAAGCTGGGGTGGATGGGGGGCGTGACCACATCATTAAACAATCTTCAAAACTAGTTTGGGGGCAAAGGGAGAGAGAGAGAGAGCAGCAGCAGCTGCTTTGTAGTCAATGTTTAAGTAAAACTAAATGAAACTATTTAAAATGCAATTTACTGCAAATCAATCGGGCGGGTATTTGTAATTAGAAAACCAACTCACACACACACTCGCACATAGTACACACAAATCTAGGGGCGGTGTAGGCGTGTCACAATGCCTTGAGCCTGTGAGTCTGTGGCCAAGACTGAGACGCAGACTGAATCAGCTCTGTTTATTTGTTTGTCTGTTGGCCTCCACAGTTTGACTTGAAGGTATTAGAAACTAATTTGTCTGGCAAAGAGTGAGACAGAGAGAGAGAGAGAGAGAGAAAGACCGAAAATGAGAGGGAATGAGATACAAACAGCCAATTGTTTGCCTGTCTATCTATCTCAGAGGCTTTAGTTCGGGTCTGCAGTCATCAGGCTATGGGGCTTTGCTCTTTTGTCAGGCCAGCACAAAAATCCAAAGGCAAAACCAAATCCTTGGCATGAACAAAGCACAGACAAGGACTAAATCATATGCTCTGTCTCTGGGCCGTCTCTTCCGGCAGTTGGCCAGCCAAAAACAAAGGACAAAAAAAAAAAAAAAACACGACTCATCTCGTTTTTAAGTCGCTTGCGGCTTAAATTTTCTTAAATGTTATATTGTCTTTACCAGCTGGCATAACAACGGACAGCACATGCCAAGTTTTTATGGATTAACTAAACAAGCTCATGAGTAAATATTTTCAAGCATATTTTGGCAAACTTTACAATGAAGTTGACGACGTTTCGCTTCCCCAGGCATCGTCTTTTGCCTAGAATTTTGAGCTACGCACTGCAAAATTTGCCACACGGTCGCACACACACACACACACACACACACAGGCGTATAGTGTTCAAGAAATCCGCACAAATATTTGCTTAAATTTTGTTGTCAAAATAAGCAAAAATATGCGCAGTGTACGCAACATTTAAAGTTTTGCTTTAGCCAAAAAATACTCGAACTAGCTGAAATTCATTACAACAAATAGTTGACATACCCTAACTGAAGGGATCCAATAACTTGGTCAATTAATGCTTGAAGTGCATAAAACACTCTCACACTCTCATATGCATTCAACTCTGACTGGGGGCTGAAAAGTTGTCTGAGCGAAATCATTTATCTAACATAATGATTTCTTAAATAATTTTGTTTAAGCCTTGAAGGTTTATGAAGAGTATCATATAGCTGGGAGATGTTCAGTCATCACTATTGTTAACTTTTGGCTCTGTCAACCAATCCATCAATTAGCTAGTCAGTTAGTCAGTCAATCACTAGCTAGTCGTTTTGTTAGTTAGTCAATCAGTCAGCCACAAAGTTAAACAAATAATTGATCAATCAGTTAGCCAATCAGTGAATTAATCATGGACTACGAAAAGGTGCAAGAAAAAAGTGTTT